AATTTTTCACACACAAGCCTTGCTATATGAGCTCTCAAAGCATATAAAAATTATACGGCTTAAATGTGAAGTTGGGTGCAAAAGAATACAATTAAATCCTCTGTCGGGAAAAAACGAAATGACTTTCCGAACAACCCTATAGTTTAAGGTTTCTCTTCCATTAAAAGAAGTCAATAGTTACTAAACTACATAGAAATAATAAAAATATTGTAACTTTGGTTTAGTCCTTAATCTATTTATAAATATTTCACCAAGATATCAGCCAAACTTCAATAATGATTATTAGTAATTAGTTATTTTTTATACGATCAGTAAACTTGGTGCAAACGACTTCGATAAAATATTGATATCTTTTTTTCAGTTGTTGGGGACAGATAGTGCATTTTGTCTTGTGGAAGCCTTTATAACTGGAGTTCTAGATAATTGGCCAAAGAGATTGCGACCTCACAAAGAAAAAATAAGACTTTTCATATGCCTAATAATGTTTACGTTAGGAATTCCAATGATTTCAAAGGTATTTATACGGTTTATGTTAATTAGATTGTAAGCAAAAATACTGTCATGTATAATAAATCTAACATGGAATTACTAAGTTCATTAATGAATCTATCTAATCTGCTCATGATCTAAATACGTTTTGGATTAATTTTAGGGTGGAATGTATATCTTTCAACTGATGGACTACTACTCTGCAAGCGGTATTTCTTTGTTATGGGTCTGTTTTTTCCAAACAATTGCCATTTCTTGGATTTTTGGAACAAATAAGTTATGCGACTGCATTGAACAAATGATGGGTTTTAGACCTAACAAGTTTTGGACAATTTGTTGGCAGTTTTGTGCACCTGTTGTCATGTTGGTAAGCAATATTAACGCTTGATAAACAATTAGACGTCCAAGAGTAGAAACAGGGTTCCTGTTCCCTTGATATAAGTATTAGGCAAAATTGGTGAATTTATACAAAATATTGTATTTTTAAAAATACATATTTATTCAAAAATATAATCGATTCCTTGGTAAAAAATACTTTCATGGTTTTCGGCTGTTGCAATATAGATTTCCTCGAAATTTTATGTGCTTTATCGGTTTTTCTTTAATTTCGAATTTCGTTTTTTCCAAGGCATAAACTTGGATGAATATGGAAGAGTTGATAAGACACTATTGAGATAAGTAAGCAATTTATGTGAAGATAATATGAAGATAAGGTGTGGAATGAGATAAGAGTGTAAGAGGATAGGTTAGAAGGGAAAAAACTTAATCTCTCGTTACACAAAGGTGGAGAAAGGGCACTCGTAACTAGATCACACTATGTCGTGGCGGCTCTAGACACCTGCCTCAAATATCCCTAGTGGCTTTCGGTATCTGGGAAGTCAGATAACTCAGGATGGAAGAAGTCACTTTTGTTCTCGCGAAAAGTTACTTTAGAAATTCGAAAAATATTGTTAAAGGTGTTTGTTTCGAGGGCGGCGCTTTACGAGTGCGAAATATGGATGGTTGGCATTGCGGAAAAGAAAAGGTTGGAAGCGTTCGAAATGTGGAGCTATAGGCAAATGATGACGATAACGTGGGTAGAAAAGGTTAGAAACGAAGAGGTATTAGAAAGAATAGGAGAACAGAGGACTCTGTGTAGGATGTTCTAGTTTTAGGGAAATGCGAAAATTTTCTCAGGATAGGAAATAGTGGAGGTGCGGGTTTAACCAGTCATTGGATTGACGACCTTATGATGATGATGATGATATGTATAGTATATGTACGTAAATTCTTGCTCTATAAACAACTGTCATGGGGTAATAATGATAATTTGCAAAATTCACGAAAAGGCGGTAAACTTACCATATTTACGTTGTCACAACGGTAGAGTTTGAACTGTCCCAAGTGTTCAAGTGGCTAACCTGTAAAAAACAATCACAATCACAATCAATGTTGCTTCGGCGATTCTTTAAATTAGCAAATATTTCAATTAATATATAAAAGTATATTTTTAACATCATACACTATGACACTAATTACGCAGTTGGACCGAATCATACATGTCGATCGCGGTTCATCAGCACAAACATTAATATTCTACCCAATTATCCTACCGTTTCTTTTCTATTCGACCTCCGCTCCTACTTTGTTAATTTGATACGTAACATGTCATCGCTACCTTTTAATTTATAAATCGAAGACTCGATGAACAGTATAACTGTAGGGATAGATTAGTATGCTTACATTTGCCAATGATATAGCAGTATTACCGCCTATCAAGAAGTTAGAAATAGTTTTACATAAAATGAAAGCGGTATTCATAAAACAGTATTAGATATATGAAAATAAATAAAAGTAAAAAAAAAATACTGGTATGCAAGGGAAGAAAAAGTAGGGAAAGAGCGAATATAAAGGATATGAAAAATTAGAAAAAGTGGCTACTTTTAGGTGTCTAGGAGGTCAGATAAGTCAGGACGGAAGGAGTAGTAGGGATATAAAGCAAAGGATAGTGCAGGGTCGAGTCGCCTTCAATAAAAAGAAGCCAGTTCGTTGCTAGCTAACGATGAATTTAGAAATTTAAAAAAGACTGTTAAAGGTGTATGTTTGGAGCGCCGCGCTGCACGGGTGCGAAACATGGGCCGTAGGCGCTGCGGAAATGAAATGGTTAGAAGCGTTCGAAATGTGGTGTTACCGACGAATGATGAGGATAACGAGGGTAGGGAAAGTTAAAAATGAAGAGGTATTACAAAGAATAGAAGATCAGAGGACCCTGTGGAAGTCAGTAAGAAATAGGCGAGATAGATTAGTAGAACACCTCAGGCATGAAGGTCTAGTCAATGATATATTAGATTAGATTACTGTTCGCAAACAGTTAAGGATGTGAGTTGTTCTAGTGTTGGGGAAATGCAAAGATTTCTCAGGGTAGGAAAGAGTGGAGTTTTTATTAAAATGCTTTCAATAGTAGAGAGGGGAGGTGCTCCAACGAATTAATATTAAAACGTATAAATATTTAATGCGAGGCATATTATATCGACAACGGCACGAATATTGTACGTACATATTTAATTCATTCACGTCCCATATTAAAAGGCGCATTCGCATTTACAGGTAATCTTCGTCTCGCAGTGTATAGAGTACAAGCGGCTCACGTACGGAGGTTCGTACGAGTATCCCTGGTGGGCTGAGATTATTGGACTCATGCTGAGCTTCTCGTCTATGATATGGGTGCCTGTCTACGCGATATATTACGTCTGCAAAGGATCCGGCAGCCTTTGGGAGGTACGACCAAAAACTTATGAAAAATTCAATGCGAATTATTAGCATTGGAGAGAACGGCTTTCCTGTATCTCGGATATTTTTCTCATTACCGTGAATTTTTTAAAAACACGGATGACTCACGTTTTCACACGGTTCCGTGGCCGTTATGTTTGATGGAGCAGTTAGAGACAAAAATGTTCTAGGAAGAAATGCGGGATTTATTTCATTTTCTCAAAAACTCTTCCTTTGTAACTTCCATAAAACTGAGAAATTCATACTTTAATTAAGTCCTTTTATGATGTAATCTGTGTAGTTTGAGCTTCTGCTATCCACAGGAAAAATAATCAGATAATGAAAAAGGTTTTCTGAGAATTCCAATGAAATTTTTATGAGTCATAAAATAAAGCACCTCGTACTTCAACCAAGTCCATTTTCCAACGCCTAGATTTCCATTTAATGTGCTTTAACTAAATTATTAGTACATATACTCGAGCTGAGACTTTTTTACAATTTCAATGATTTCCAAGTTAATAAAACTTTCTTAAATGTTTACTTATTAAAGGAAACTATCTTGCGATTGTAACACATAGGCAATCGAATGAAAACGTTAATGCTCTATATTCGTCTACGTATAACTAAATAAAATAAAATATCTGCATGCAATAAATATACGCACTTATACCTATATGAGCGTTTAATTCTTGGTCGCAAACTTTGGAAACTATATCAGACGCGCATCGCGACTTCAATCTTATTTGATCCTTCTTATTAATTGATTTACGTACCTGTAACGGATGTATTACCTTGTATAACGCTTATAGTAGGAAATACCTACCTACAAGATGGCGGTACACTATCTGTATTTGAATATTACATAAACTCTCTCTTTTGGTTAGTAATTTATATAGACAATCTATGGTTTAAGAATCGGACATTACCTACCTTCAGGGGGTGCCTTTTGAAGATTTCCCCTTCTCGAGAATAATCTAAACAAAAAAAAACAATCTATGGCGCGCTGATGAGATTAAATAAAATCTAAATCGCGATGTGCGTTTGTAGACTGTAAAAATTTCTATGGTAACTTTACAAAGAATGTAGTGGAAGTTTTATTCACAAGTAGTTTTGTAAATTTATAATATATATTATCAGGAATATTCCTAATCCACGTTAGGTAATTGTACCAAATGTGTTGTAATTATAAGTTTTTTTTTGGGGAAGTAAAAATACAATCAGTATTGGAACGTTCATTTTATAGTTAGTGTTCTAACTTCCTCTACAGTGCTGTGAACTTACAATACAAATTAGTAGGTAATCGTACTGAATGTCAGTAGCGGACTAAGCCCGTCAGAGGCCCGGGGCGGCAAAGCTGAATGAGTCCCCCCAGCTTTTAGTTTTTTAAATAGTTTTTTTTTTCTAGCGTGTTATATGTGTTTACGTGCCTTCAATTTTGAGAATTCCTCAATAACTTCTGTTAAATTGATTTCATTTGAAAATTTCTTTTCTATTGAAGGCACGGCCAGATTAACCAGAGCGACTGACGCAACAAAAATTAAAAACACTATTACACTTTCGATAACATCGCGTTTATTACTTTACAATTTGAAAAAATGCTTATCCGTTCGCGAAAATATCAGAACACACTAATAAATTATTAAATATCAACGTAATGAAATTTAATACATTTTAAATGAGGCCAATGATTATCTTTCGGCGTAAATAGAATGTAGTGAATGTAAATGTAGGCGTACAATAGTAAATTATTTGCACTTCATTCTTTCAGGGAATCCTGGGGAAGTACCCGCTACAAAGACGGAACTTCCCCCAGCGTATTGGACGCGTTCAGCAAAGTTAAAAGTATATTAGTACCGCGCAAAAAGTCTATATGGTTGTAGTGTTTTGATCTTGATGAAATTATGAAGGTACTAAGCACACTGTAAAGTCTTGTTTAGGATTTAATCAGGGGAACACGGAGGCATTTGGGGGCGCCCCAAGACCGGAGGCCTGGGGAGGGACGCCCCTTCCGCCCCCCTGTTAGTCCGCCACTGCCGAATGTGTTGTAAATATACGTTCTTTTTGAGAGATAAAAATACAAACAGTATTGGAAAATAAAATAATTCGAAGTGGTCTGTATTCTGTCGAAACTGCCAGACGCGGATCACGATTTCGATCTTTTTGGATCTCATCAGCGCGGCGCAGGCAGCTCTGACAGAACGCCGGGATTCGTTTCAGCAAGTAGATATCCATATATTTAAATGGACCTTGTTGGAGCATACGTAATCCTAAAATGTCGCATCGTACTACAGATGGCGTTTACCGCGTCATTTGTTGTATTTTCCCGTATTGGAAAGTTCATTTTAAAGTTCTGTAAATTTCCAACTATAGTTTCTGACCAAAACACTAAACGTTTTATAAATTAGTTCACGCGTCTGTTACGTACGTAGGTAAACTGCGGCGACATAAGTTGAAATACCAATAATAAGGCGTTGCTTAACGATTGAAATTGTTTGGTAGTTGCAAATACTCACTGGATGATCACACATTGCCCGTATTTGAATATGTCTACAGTGTTACTCATTCATATATTTATTTTCAGAACTTCAAAGAAGGTTTAGAACCCAACATCATTCAAAGAAAGCTTTCAATAAAAGACAAACAAGCGGGGTATTTGATTTCTGATAGTAATGTTGCCGAAGAGACTGAACCCTAACAAGGTCGAAATCACCACAACATTCAAGTACCTAATACCTACTGTATATTGAGAGATAGACTCACAGTATTATATTATAGATAAAACAATTAATTTCTTATGCTCAAATCCTTATACTCACATTATCAATTATATTGTATTTATACTATTCAAATAAAAGTAAAGTAATAAATAAATATTTTGTTGTTATTTGGATGATTCTCAACAAAGCGGGAAAAAACAAGTACGTACCTATATATAAATAGCAAATAGTACACCATAATGAAATTCATGTGTATAATATTATAACAATAATATCTGTCTGTCTGTTGTCTGTACGAAACGACTAAACTGATTACAAAAGAACGTTACATACAAGAAGAGTGATGTGTACATCGCATTTTTTAATTAATTGAGTTATAAGAATTGCACCTATAATAAATAAAATTAGAAAAAATTTCACGCGAACGAAATCGGAGGTTACATAAAGACAGAAGTACACAAAATACGTAGATAGCTTTTTGTATTTTAATTAATTTTGAGCTAATCTACAGTACACAACGTGAAATATCTTTGAAAAATCATAAATATTTTTAAATTGTATCTTGCATGACCAAAAACAATTTTCTGGAGTGTCAC